GCCAGCTCCTGGTGCCGCTGCTGAGGGCCTTTACCTTTTTCGCAGCTCTTGCCTGTGTAGCTGACTTTGCAGGTGCAGCTGTGGGTGCCATTGCTGGGCAGGCAGTAGCCTCTGCTCCCACAGGGGCTGGAGAAGCACGGGTCACTGGCTGCAGGAGAGGTGCCAGGCCCGGCGGTGTTAGTGGTGCCAGCTGGCCAAGTGGCCGCCCCGCGCTGAGCCGCCCTGCCCACCTCACCTGTCTCGCAGTGGTAGCCAAAGAAACCCTCCGGGCACACGCAGAGGTAGGAGCCCCCGTAGCTCTCGCACTCCCCTCCATTTCGGCAAGGGCCTGACTCACAGGCATCCACTTCTGGAGGTGGGAGGAGGCCAGCAGTGAGTGGGGGCCCCCAGTACGCTGACAGCCAGCTCCCACGGGCAAGTGACAGCAACAACCCCCCAAGGGGGCAGCAGGATGGACATGCAGCCCAGGGCTTGGCAGTCAGTCTGGACCCAGAATCCCACCCAAGTACCGCAGCAGCCGCATACCCTGGCAGGGGGTGGACGCCTTCAAAAGGGTATCCATCACCAGCGGACACCTTGTTCTGTGCTCCCTCCCCACTGGAGCAGTTTCAGCCCTGCCCCCGAAACCGCAGGCAAGGAGGTGCAACAGGCAGCAAGAGCCTGAGGTGATGGCTCGGGGTTAAGGTGCCCAAGACGGCGACCAGCTGCCTGGCTCGGTACCAGTCCTGGCCACATCCCAGTGCCCACAGTCCAGCCTCCCACCACCCCGGGAAGGGTGAGTCCCTACCTGTCTCACACTGGGTCCCCACAAAGCCCTCAGGACAGTAGCAAGCAAAGGACCCGAGGAGGTCCCGGCAGGTCCCGCCGTTCTTACAGGGCTCTGACTGACACTCGTCGACATCTGGGGAGCAGCAGGAGGAGAGGCGCTGGCTCAGCACAGTGATGGGACTGGCGGACTCAGAAAGGCAGCGCTTCTCCTGCAGGGCACAGACCCTCCCCATGTTGCTCACTACCCCCAAGCCCACCAGCCAGGAACAGCCCCGCTCCCGAGGCTGTTAGGAGCCCTCTGTCCCCCTGCACAGGGGCTGTGGTGGGAGCTGGGCATGGGGACATGCCCACAGGGACACCTGGGGACAGCTGGCAGTGTGGGGCTGTGCCAAGAGGTCCCATAGGATGCCTGTGGCACATCCCCTCCTCTAACCCTCGGCGGGCATCCCACCTTCTCCCACCACCATCCTCTGCCAGGCCCTGGGGAGCTAGGCTAGAGCCACCTGCCATAGAGTCCCACCAGCCCCCGTGCTGCCCATCACCCCCCTTCAACCAGCGCCCACACGTGACCACGACCATGTGCATACATGGGAGCAGGAGCACAGCGCAGCCAAGAATGTGCAACCTCAAGCTGCTTTTTCCCCCCACAGTTGGTCAATAGCTTTGGAGCCATGCAGGGCACTTCCCATCCAGACCCCAAGATCTGGGGCTTCTCTGCAGGGGCTTAACACGTGTCAGAAGTCATTGCCTCCCCAGTGATGGAGATGCCCATGAAGCATCCATTAGTGGGGGGACACAAGTAGCACATGTGCCCCTGCCGCCCTGCCTGCTCCTCTGCCCGACCGGGAGCAGCATCTCCCCACCAGCACATCCCACAGCTGGCTGGGGGCTCCAGGAGAGGAGCCCTCGCTGTAGGCTGATCTGAGCGCACAGGCAGGAGACTGAAGCCAGCCCACACAACTGCAGGCAGCACGGCTCCTGGCTGTGGGGTTTGCGCCTGCTGTTGTTCCCCGGGGGCTGGGGGGCAGGGCAGGCAGCTATAGCAAACTATTCAGTGGCCCCGGAGCATAGCCAGCACAGTCTCTTACCTGACTCGCAGTGGTGGCCAGTGTAACCTGGCTCACAAAGGCACAGGAACTCGGCGATGCGGTCCTTGCACTGGCCGCCGTTCAGGCAGGGCTGGGACCGGCACTCATCGATCTCTGCAGGCATTTGGGCAGGGGAGAGACAAGGCGAGAGACGTGAGCACCAGGCAGGGGTCCCCAGGGGGCTCTGTCCGTGGACACGGGCAGGGGAGGACTGGAGGACATGCCCTGGGGCCACCAAGCCATGGTTGTGACCACAGCCCACTGGGATGGTGCCCCAGGGCTCAGCTGCTCCCTGGCACTCCTCACCATCGCACTCAGGGGGGTCACTCCAGATGCCTGGCAAACGGCAGACACGGGGGTGGTTGTGCTGACTGAGGGTGTAGCCCAGCTCACACTGGTATTCAGCCAGCGAGCCCACCTTCGTAGAGTTGAAAGAGGCTTGGGCATGCTTAACCTCGCTGGGGACGCCACAGTCAACCTCTGGGGAGAGACGGGGTGGAGGGTGGTGAGTGGGGCCCGCAGAGGCACCCCGAGCCCCTGGCTAGCAGGGGCAGCATAATGCCCTTACCAGACTGGCAGTGCTTCCCTACGTAGCCCACAGGGCATGTGCAAGCATAGCCCCCGCCGAGGTCCTCGCAGGTAGCGCCATTCTCGCAGGGGCTGAGGAAGCATGGGGACGGCACTAGAAGAAGAGCAGAGCAAAGAGCAACTGCTGCAGAGCTGGCAGAACCCAGAAACCAGAGCCATCCCCTTTCCCCCCCGGCAGCGCTGCCCTGCCCTCTGGCAGGGTGCGAGGAAGAGTCAAAGCACTTCAAATTACAGTGAAGGGGGTTCAAAGTAAGTAGTGAGGCTCACTTGCTGCCGCCGTGGCTGCCGGCTCTGCCGGCAGCCCCAACACCTCCCCAGGCAGCACCCGGCACCAGCGCGCCCTGCTCACACCTACCGATCTCACAGTGCCGGCCGGCGTAGCCCGGGGGACAGTCGCACTTGTACTTGCCGATGTAGTGGAAGCAGGTGCCCCCATTCTGGCAGGGCCCCGAGGCGCAAGGGTCTGGCTTACCTGGGGGCAGAGGGCAGGTGGGACCTGAGCAGCAAGCAGGACGACTGCTGCCTCTCCTCCCTGGGGGGGGGCCGGGGGGCCGTACCAATCTCGCAGTGCTTTCCGGTGAAGCGGTAGGGGCAGGTGCAGTGGTACTCGCCATCCGCCTCCCTGCAGGTGCCCCCATTGCGACAGGGCCCCATGCTGCAGAGCCGTGGCTTGGCTGCAGAGAGAGTGCCAAGAGTGGGGGTCACCCACTGCTGCCAGCACCCCGAGAGCCACCGCCTCCTGCCAGCATCCCACCAAACCCCTCGCTTCAGGAAAGCTGAGCGCACTCGGGCCTCACAGCCCTGGGCTCAGCAACATTGAAACAACACCTGTGCAGACACGTGCCAGGGCCTCAGGGGGCCATGGGCACATGATGCCAGGGGACTGGTGGCTGCTCCTGAGGCCAGAAGCTCAAGCATGTAAAAAAACTCCAACACTGATGGTGTTGTGCAGGAAACACAACAACTGGATCAGCTGTTGTGACTGTCAGGGGCTGTGAAGGGAGCCGTGCAGTCCTCCCTCCACCCTGCGCGATGGAATGGGATGGGATAACCTGCATCCCCTTCAAGCCGCAGCTCAGCAAGCAGCTACTCATCTCCCACAAGGGTCCAAGCTCTTCTCCCACCCCCTCCCAGGTCCTGGGGCCAGCAGGGAGCTCTGTGCAGGTACCTTTCTCGCAGTGCTTGCCAAGGAAGCCTTGACGACACTCGCAGGTGTACGAGTTGTCGTGAACCTCACAGGAGCCCCCGTTCAGGCAGGGCTCCGAGTCGCAGGGGGATGGCATTGCTGCAAAGCCAAACACAAGGCATCACTGAGGATGTACAATCAGGGGTGTGAGGGCTGCTCCCCAGCTGATGACGGTATCCCTGCTCACCCTCCCGGCCCCCATTGCATGTCCCTCCCTGGGGCTGGTCCTGCATCCCTGCAGACGAGACTTACTGTGGTTGGTGCCGTAGTCAGTGTGGCAGACACAGAGGTAGCTCCCACCATACTCCATGCAGTACCCGCTGTCTGGGCACTGCGTGTTCATGTTGCACGGTGTGGTGGTGACTTCTGCAAACACACGGCCAGTGCCGGCCTCCGTCAGCCGGTGGCAGAAGGACACCCAGCTGGCTGCCTGGCCAGAAACGGGGGTCTCCTAACTTTGCAGGGTCTGATGACATGGGAGTGACCCTCTGTACCCCACACCACAGAATGTGCAAACGGCAAGGGCCAGCCTGGATGCCCAGCAAGCTTTGGAGCAGGAGCACACAAAAGTTGCAGTTCCCTCCCCACCCAGGGGAGCTGGGCTGGGGCCAGGGACTGGGAGAGGCATGGCTCAAGGGGGAGTGATGGAGATGGAAGCGTTGCCTCCTCACCAGGGCACAATATTTCTAGGCTCAAATTCAGTGTGTGCCCCTGGTACCATGCTAGGCTCAGGCATGGGCAGAGTGTATCCTTGCTTGCCCGCAGCCTGCCTGGCTCAAGCATCCCGGAGAGGGAGCAAACACAGCGAGTGAGAAGCCTTCACCTACCAAATTCACAGAGGAGACCAAAAAACCCAGGTGGGCACTGGCAGATGGTGACGTTCCCCTCCAGACAACTGCCCCCGTTGCGACACTCACAGCCCTCCGAGAGCTCTGCAAGAGAGGAGACAGGAGCTTCCCAGGACCCCTCCTGCTTGTGGGGTTGGAACAGCCAAGCAGCCTTACCAGATGCCACCCACAGGGGGAGCTCAGGTGGGTGGCAGCCACGAGCCCCCCCCCCCCAGCCACACAGGCACAGCCCCCCTTCAGCGGGATGGATTCACTGTTCAGTGCAGGAGCCCTGAACGGGCTCTCTGGGGCTGCTGCTTCACCCTCTCAGGAGCACAAGGGCTCCCCTAGACATGCAACACCCCACCAGAAAGGCCCCCCAGTACTCACTGTCTCGACAGTCCTGTCCAGTGTATCCCTCCCGGCATTCGCAGACGTAGCCCTGCTCTGTCTCCAGGCAGCTGCCCGCGTTCTGGCATGGGTGGGAGAGGCAGGCTCCAGGCACACGGGGCCCGCCTGCGGGGAAGGTGATGGCTGAGCCAGAGCCATCCCAGCCTGGGGCTGGAAAAACCTCTGTCCCGGGGGAGCCAGGGCAGAGCTGGTCTAGCCCAGCTTCATGCCAGAGAACCCACCATGGCCAAGCAGCCCTGATGGAAGGAACTCCCTCCCGGCAGCACAACCCCTCTGCACACCCTGGCCACCAGCTTTCAGCAGTGCCTATGGCTGACGCAGCCTCTTTTTAGCCATTTGCCCCTTCCCGCCCAGCACCCCCAAAACTGGCTCCTGTGTTGGGCTGGGCAAGGCACGCCTCCACTCACCATACTGGCAGTTGTTGCCGTAATAACCTGGGGAGCATGTGCAGATGTAGCGGCCGGGACGGATGTAGTTGCACGTCTGCCGGTTCCGGCAGCTCCGGTCCTCGCAGGAAGACGAGTCTGGGGCAGGGAAAGCAAGCGAGTGATGAGCAGAGCCCAGCCCTGGGAGAGGGGCCATGATGGCCATTGGAGCATGTGGGGGAGAGTCCCTGGCCTGGGTCGTCCCAGGGCACAGGCAGGAGCAGGCACCTGTCTCGCAGCGCTGTCCAACAAAGGGCTCCAGGCACACACAGGTGTAGTTATCAACCAGGTCGACGCAGTGCCCGCCGTTCAGGCATGGGCTGGACTCGCACTC